TTGAATAAATGAATGATTGTCCTGATTTTAGAGACAAAGTAGGAAATTAAGGCAAGATTGGAATCCTGGTCAGCCTGAACTCCCAAGCCTGTGTTCCTAATTAGCACAGTAGCATGTTTCCCAGTAGCTGCCTTCTTTTAGTATCTGTAATAGGCGAGTCACCACTCTCATGCTTTATACACTGCATCTCTCTCAATCCACACACTAGGTCTGTGAGAAACGTCTCTCCTGCTACCCCTTTACAGATGAGGAAACCGAGGCTCAGGGGATTTAATACCTTGCCTTAGAGCTCCTATTAAGTCCAGAGCAAGGAGCTGAACCTCTTAGGCTGCTCCCCACTCATCTCCTGCTACCTGCGCCACCCCACAGCATTCCTCTTTGGACGAATTAGTTGCACAGAGTTTGGCTTTTGCAAAGGAAACCAGTGTCAATGGAGCAGAGAACATTCTTTGGAATTGTGGATAGAACTACCCTCAAATTCTTTCTTTTCATCTGCTAATAACTCATGGATAAAAAACATCAACTGAGCAATGGCACGTCTTGCCTAATATTAAATTAGGAAACAAATGGAATCACTGTGAGTATTAGATTGGGGCCCTGGAGTCAGATGGTCTATGTTCTGCATACACCATCCGGTATGGAGGAACAAATGCATACCTGTTCCTCCGGGGTTGTGTAACCTGGGCAAGTTTCTAAACCTCTGTAAGCTTTCGCTTCTTGTTTTCCTACCAGTATGATAATGATGTATGTCCTGGGGTTGGATGAGGATTGAATGAAGCAATACACATAAAGCCTTAACACAATGTCTGGCACACATGTGTGCTTATTAAATGCGGGTGGATCCCTTAGGATGCTTTTGTTGCCAGTAACAAAAAAAACCTTGACTAGTTTAAGCAACAGAAAGTACTACATCAAATAATAAGACCCAAACTTAGGTGACTCCATAGTTCAGGTTGATTCCCCAAGGGCTCAGTGGCTCCTACACACTCCAGCCTCCAACTTGACACTGTCCACTTCCTCACAGAGTTTAATTTCCCCCAGTATACTCTGAATACTTCCAGTCCTGGATCGAGGATTTGAGTTCACCAGAAGACTAGAGAGATGTTTTCATGTACTCCAAACTTCATGAACACTGCAACTCTGAGCTCGGACCAATTGCTGAGCTTTCTGCAAGTCCCTGTGGATGTGTACTGCTTTTTACTCACTTTCCTAGAGCAGGCACTAAGTAACACCAGATTGTTATTCCTGCTTCCCTTTCCCATCTCCTTTTGCTTCCTCCTAAGATCCAGCACTTCTCAGACCCCACCTAGGAAGTTCTATTCTCCCTGGAGGGCAGCTCCTGCTTCGTGGTGCGAACCCGAATTTCCAGCAAGGCCCTGCTCTAGGCTCTTCTAGATCGGAGGCAGCTAGTCTGAGTTTCCAAGCCACGGGATGTAAGGGTAGCAATTCGTGGCACTCTCCCAGGAACTCTTGTCTGTTGAAATAGTTTTCATACATAAAGTGATAATGGTGGAAATTCCAGACGCTGAGACAAATAAGTGGAATGAGCATTTTAGCACAGGTAAACTCTTAACTTTTTCTGTAAGGTTTGTCTTTTTCTTGCTTGCTTTTTAATTTTTATTTGTAGTTCTTATTTCAAAAGCAAAATCTCAAACCAGAAAAATTTGAAGATCCAGAAAACAAAAATGTGTAAGCATAAAAACATTCACAATTCCACATTACTAGTAGTCCTTTCGTGTGTGTATGTATGTGTATACATGTGTATGTATATGCATATATTAATATACCTATTAGTGGTTTTTTGCTATGCAAATACTTTTTATTTTCAAACAGAGATTCATACCCTATATTCGGTTTGGTAACTGCTTTTCTAACTAAGCAATGTAACATGAATATCTTTTTATGTTAATAGCTACGGTTCCTCAAAATAGATCTTAAGAGCTGCAGATTATTCCATTGTTTGAATGTACCATAATGTATTTCAGGAAGCCTCAGGGTGGGACAAAATGTTGTCATTACAAACAGCATCTTTGTACACAGTTAGGCTGGTGCATTCTTGGGTTTGTTCTTAAATCATTTTCTAAGTTGGTACTTACACTTCCAGCTGTGCAACTTTGAATAAGAAATTTCTTTTCTGACATCTGTTTTGTTCATGTTAAAATGGAAATGAGGTCTACCCCTCAGGGTCATAGAATTGATATCAGTGAAAGAATATAAAAAGCTATAAAGCTTTAGAAAGCTGGAATGGTTACTCCTGGGTACAGTTATCTTAAAATACAAATTGAAATGATGAGTCCTTGAGGACCTCTCTGTTTGCTTGTGTTAACTCTGAAAATGATTGTGGATGGCGTTTCATCCGCCTTATCAGCATGAGCGGGTTTGCTGTGTTTTGAAGGCATCGTATTCATGTGGTTTCTCCTCAGTCTTTCTAGTGCTTCAGGTCCAGGATAACTTATTTAAGTTATGTTCACAGACCAGGCTCATGGCAGACGCCCTTTTCCTCCAGAAATCCCAGGGTATGAGCTGACTTTGATAGGCACTCTTGACTAATTTTTAACCTTGCAGTACAAGCCATAAGTCATTGTCAGAGGCTGGATGGATTGATCTGGAATGTAAAGGTTTATTTATTTACCAGCTCCCTGATGTGCAGGGTTATGTTACCAGTGGTGATGGTGTTGTCTTGCCATGAAGGAAATGTGCACTCTCTTTGAAACCAAGGCTTAACAGGGGCATAATATTCTGACCCCAGTGAGTGGCGATTTTCCACAGCAGCAAAAACCTTTAAAGATACAGTAGTGGCAGGCAGGCTTACTGACCAGAAGCTAAAGCAGAACACAGCTTTGAACACTAGATTTTGCCTTCACTTCCTGAGCCTCTTTCCTCCCCACCACACACACACACACACACACACACACACACACACACACACACACGTTCAGTTTCCAAATCCTTCTTTTAAGAACCATCTCAAGTCCTTTATCTTTCATACATCGTCAGTGATCTCTTTCCACCCTCTTAGATTATCTCTGTCCTCTAAATTCTTTCAGCACTGAACAGTCTATGCTACATACAATTGGCACTTAATTGCGAACTGCCATCTGTTCAAATACATTTGGTTTATCTCCCCAAGTCCACATCCACTTCTGTCTCCAGAAGCTTTAGTCAGGGGCCAGCACAGGGTTAGTGCTCAGCCACTTCTTTGGAAAGACTGATTCAAAACAGGACTGGCTCTTTTTCTTCTTGCTTAAATTTCATTCAACCAACATGTATCAAGGGCCCATGTGTTTCCAGGTCCAGACACAACACTTCACAGATGAGGGCAATTTCAGTCACTTCTGAGACCATCAAATAATGGAGAAAACACCACTGAATATACGACTTGCTAACTGTACAGTGCACATCTAAGTAATATTAAAACTGAGCTTTTTTTTTTTTCTTATCATTTGTCCCTCCCTCTGCTATATGCAGTGCTCTTCCACACAGAGGGAATCTGAGATAGCGATAGACGCATAATCTCCAAGGAATGCTGCTGGAGGACTCTAGCATGGATAGCCACAGTATTAATCCCAAGTGCAGGGAGTCAAAAAAGGAAACCAAGGGTCATTATCACGCTACAGGGCGATGGGAAATGGCTGACTTATCAGGTTACTCACGCATGCTTGTTAGGTGACCATCATGCACAGGCGCTGCCTGGCTGCTGACCCAGTGGCAGCCGAGACAGAAGGATCTACCTCCTTGGTGCTCAAAGGTGCTATCACCCCATACACATTTCAAGTACTTATAAAATTGATGTCAATATTTCACAGCAGAGTTGGGTCTATATTTTATCACTTAGCCACTCCGTGTATAGGAAATGCATTTGTATAGCAAACCTAAATCTTTCCTGCCATGTCCTGCTCAGATATGAAGCCAGTGCCACAGAATTCTGGGCACATCGTAGGCACCTCAGTGAATATTTACCGAATGAATAAACAAAGAATAAAACCTTTTTAAAAAAACTTTCACTCTAGAGAACAAAAAGGTTGTTGAAGTCATAATCATTGTCTTCTTAATTCTAGAATCCTTTACTATAAATGCTACATAATAGGATTATCTAATTTTTAAATGAATAAATGAAGGAGTATACTTGCATCTTGAATCTCTGTAGTATTAGTGATTTATAATAATAACAACTAAGAGATTACTGAGACCAACTCTTCTCTTACCGAGGACGTTCCAGCCCAGAAGAGTTAAATGTCCTGTTCAAGGTGACACAGATATTTTTAAGGCATCAAAATTACAGCCCTTTGTGCGAAAAGCTATAAAAATCTTTTGTATTCCTCAGTGACAGACACTACAAAAAATGCATTGTTCAGTAAAATAGTTATATGTCAAGATCCCATCTTAGTAACAGACTCTAAGCACTTAATTCCTTTAGTTGTATGGAAAACTTTAAGAGTTTCTCGAGGAATTCTTTTTAGTAAGATAACTCCACATAAAGAATCTACCAAATAAATGAAAATTCACCTAAAGCTTTCTTGAGTTGGTCCCAAAGTGCTTGCTGTGAGAAACAATTCCCTGTTAGTGCAATACAATACAGCTCACAAATCTTACTTTAATTATGTGGCCTGTACCTGGAGCATTCAGTTGTGTATAGGAAAATGGTAAAAATTCTCAACTTCGTCCTGGCATGTTAGTATCACAAATCTAACCATGAAAAACATTTTGTGCATCAAGGAAAATTTTAAGAGTAATATCAACATAGCTGTTTTAACAGCTGTTGTTATGAATAATTAAATACTTTTTTTATTTTGCAAAGTCTGTTTGAGTTATTTATTTAGAACACATTAGCAGACATGGAGGAAGCACAGAGCAGTAAGACACAGAAGCTGTCCTCAAGGAAAAGGCTCTGGGTTACAGGGACAGAGCGCTGGCTTAGGCCTCCAGTACACTTTACTGCTCCATGTAACTAAAGTGCCAAGAAATTCCAGCTTCCACTGAAGCTTGATCCAGTGACTCACCCATATCTCCAAGGACTGAGGTTCTCTCTATAGCTCTCTGTTTTCCATGGGGTCAAATCTATCCTCAGGCTCCAAACTTCTCGTAAGAGCATCAGATGCTCTCCTGGTGGGGGCAGGTGCTGCCACCCTCACCTCACACCGTCAAGGAAAGGAAAGCCTCTGATAATTTTCCTAGCAGAAATTGGGGTCTACTTGGTTTTGACCAGCTCAGGAGGAGGGCCAACATTTGGACCAGTCACCAGAGCAAGGGGAGTGCTCCAAGGGGCTTGGGTCTGTGTCACCTGCTTGTGCCTCAACCACTAACTACAAATTAATCAGCATAAGCCAAGCAGGGCAGGCCCTAGGATGGAGACAGCTTCAGCTAAATCACTCTCAGGGAGTGGAGAAAGGAGAGTTCCACTTAATTAACCACAGGCTTCTGTTGTCTACAGTAAGGTAAATGGAAAGTAGGGAAACAATCTATAAATGTCTGCCAACAAATGCCCAAAGGTAACCTCAGGGTAAGATAGAAGTGAAGATTCCCTCAACCAAGAGCTGCTTGTGCCCCTCAGGTGACACTTCACTGCTGCAGACAACCAGCCGTGCTGCAGGAGCCACCGTGCAGTATTCACGTGTGAGTGGGTGGCTTCAACTTTCACCTGGAGGACTCATTCTGCAGGAAGGCTGTTGTGCTACAAAATATGTGTTTCACTCTTACTGAAGTGACAGAGGCTAGGAACTCAAAAGCAAGCTGCAGTCAGAGCCATCTGAAAAAAGTCAGATCTGGGGGCTCCTGCTAGGACCAGAGCCCAATGAATCTATGTCCTACCGCACACACCTTGGCAGCAACTTCTTCAATACATAATAATCATATGAGTGTAATGTTGTCAGAGGTATATTAGAAAAAGGAGAGAGAACATCTCAGAGAGAGAAGCAGTATAATCACAGCGAAGAGCTTGGAAATGGAAAATGAAAGGCTCAGGTTCTAGTCCAGTCTATGGCAGTAATTCACTAGAGGCCGTGTTTGCACTGGGCTCTGGAGTCAGTCGGTTTCACAGGTCACTAACTGTGTAACCTTGGGCAACTTACTTAACCTCTCTGGCCTCAAACTTTCTCCTCTTATTATAAAATAATAATAAGAGGAATCCTTATTCTTAGTGCATCTTGCTACACTTCAGCTTGCTCGCATGTAAACAAGTGAGTGAATGTTTTAAATAGCAGTTATTAATTGCCTGGTGGATGGATATGAGAGGTAGTGTTATACCTGTGACATGGAAAAACATTGGGAGGTGAACAAAGTTGGCTGTAATCTGCACAACATAACAATTTGGAGATGAATCCAAACCTGCTCACTCCCCATGCACATGATCTGGTTGCTGTGCTGTTCCTGGGAGGACGGGCTCTATCCTGAGGACGTACGCTGGTTGGACGTGACCCAGGGCTGGCAGGAGTAAACCGATGGTATCTCTTTATAATCATTTCACCATTTCATGCTTCATTAATAACCACGTTTTCTACTTTGAGAGTGTGGAAGTCAGAAGAATCAGTCCCTGTTGAAGCAAAACCTTTCCTTAGGAAATTTTTCAGTTATCAGGAGAAATGCTCCCAGACTCTGGATCTTTCCATTACAGGAGGGTCTTGTCTTCACCTATGAAGACAACTACACATTCTAGACAAAGCCCTGCAATGTGGCCAGTCTTGTAGAACACATAGTTTGGGTTTGATTTCTGGTTACACCCTCCCTATGTGACTTTGGACAAGTTATTCAAACTCTCTGAGCATTAGTTCATTTCCTCATCTATAGAAGAGGTGTGGACAATAATACCTTGCAGGATGGTTGTGGAGATAAATTTGATGAAAAGTATTTCACTTGATTCCTGGCACATAGGATTCGTGAGTGGTGGCTTTATTTGTTGAAACCATCTTTTTTACTGGAATTTTGGAATTTGGGCAAAGAAAACTATATTTTAAATATAACAAGTAAATAAATTAATTGATAGTAAATAGTCTGTCAATTAAATTTGTATTTAAATGGAAAAGTATTTAGTGTTGTTGTTGCTTTAAAAGTGTCAGCTTGTCAGGGTGCCCAGGTATTGTTTTGAAATATAGATGATGGGTTGCTGGTCAACAAGACATAAATGCTCATAGAAAACATGGTTCAAGGAACGAATCACAGGATTTCTAAGAGGAGAGAATCCTAAGGAGTGCATTTGAATGTTCTGTCCATGTGACCCCACCTCCCGCCAGCCATTCTGATTACTGTGCTTTAAAATGGCACTGTCTGTATGCAGGCGCAGCTGCCTTTTGCAGTAATGGTGCTGATGTGACAATCGGCAAAGCAGCATGTGGGTTATATCAAGAAGAGTGTGAACTTCCGAGCCCACCTGCTGCTTATATAACTAGTATGTTAGTGACTCTGACCAAGCTGTTTAAACTCTCTAGGTCTGAGTTTTCTCATCTATAGAATGAGCATAATGATATTTCTCCATAAAATTGCTGTGAAACTTATATAAAACAATGTGTCCACTGCTTGGCCCATAGGGAGCAGTCAGTAAGCAGTTATTTGTGTTCTCGTGTGGTTTTCTAATTTTCCCTAGTTCTTGGCACGTATTGGATTCATTGGCTTTGTCCCTATATTACATTTTCTATATTCAAAGAATATGAAAAATGTCTAGCTTATTCCTAAAACTTTGTCTTGTCCTATTGGTTAATGAAAAATTTTAGTTTGGATGCCAGAGTTTTATGCTCTTCAGGCATCTGAGTCCTGTTGTCCCAGATGGGGTTTGAATTCCCCATGCCTTCTGACTCACAGGTATTCTAAGATTCTCTTGCTTCAAGGGTGAATGTTCATGGTCTTGTAACCACTAACCAGTGAGTTTCTTTGTCCTAGACCTGTTGCTTGAAGTGGATTCAAGAATGTGCCTCATGAGGCCATTTCCACTTACATGGCTTCTTTCATCCTGGAGAATCCCCAGTTCTTTCCTGGGCTGATCTGTGTATATCTAGTGAGATGACTGGACGTGCCCATTTGTTTTGTTCAAAATGACTACACTGTGAAAATCGAGTATAAAAACCCAAACACTGCTCTTTTCTCTCCAAACTAGCTGTAGGAATGAATTTTCATTGTATGTTGATCTTGTTGCTCTGAAAATAACAGGTATATTTTATACATAATATAGGTATGCTATGTGTCATAAAATAAGTGCTAGACATTCAAAGAGTTAGGTGTTTAGAGTCAGAAACTGGAGTGTATGTGTTGGAATATATACACATATGTGTGTATTACAAATATATGAACATTAGCCAACCTAAATAAGCCACAAGTAATAATAATAGTTATTACTATTAATAGTACATTATTACTATTTTTATTACAAATATTCCATTTATTATTAATCTTAATAATACTGCTAATAAGAATAATGGCTTCCTGTTTATTGAATGCCTCTCATGGCTCGGTACTATGTTAAGTGCTATACAAATGTTACACTCCTCAAATTGATCTGCACATAAATCCTGAGAGGAAGTATTGTATCTCTTATTTTAAGAAAAAGAAACTGAGAGTCAGAGAGGCTGACTAATTTGCCCAAGGTTACAGCTGGCAATTGGCAGAGCTGACCATTAATGGGTTGTGGGGACAAGCCTGTGATAATGTGGATAATGAGAGGCCTCTTGGGCCCATGAGCCAGGAGGACATGAAGAAGGATGGGGATGAGGTGCCATCAGGCAGAGTCGGTGCCAGTAGGGGCAGTGTCAGTCCCTGCAGCCGCTTCTCCCTCACTCTACCGAATGCACCCCAAGGCAAACACAGTTCTACAGAAGAATGAACTGGACCACAGAGACAGAGTTCAAACTGTAGGTTCTGCAGGAGTGCAGCTGCTGCTCGAGATGACACTGTCATGGCAACAGGGCCCAGCAATTCTACCGATGCTCTGGGAGCTTATAGTGGCCTCACAGAAGCCCTTAGACAGATATATATTTCCTTTGGGCCTGGGGCATCCTGTTCAATAAGCTTGCTCCCATCACCAAAAGGAAAATAACAGACTCACCTTTCCTTCTCTGCCTGCACATGAATATTACCTTTGCTGAGCTAAAACCAAGGCAAATGCTAACAGGAGGTTGGAGGGGAGTTCTCTTTTTGATGTGCACTTTGGGTGAAGGAGGATGTTTTAGATTCTGTGTAGATAATCAGTTCTCCACATCAGGCCACTGGCCATACCATTTTCCTAGTCATCTAGGTTCCTTTTCTGTCTTTTTAATGGAATCTTAGAGTTCCAATATACAAAATGGTCACCTTGGCCAGGTGTGGTGGCTCACGCCTGTAATTCGAGCACTTTGGGAGGCCGAGGCGGGCGGATCACAAGGTCAGGAGATTGAGAACATCCTGGTTAACATGGTGAAACCCCATCTCTACTTAAAAAAAAAAAAATACAAAAAATTAGCCAGGCATGGTGACGGGTACCTGTAGCTACTCAGGAGGCTGAGGCAGGAGAATGGCATGAACCCAGGAGGCGGAGGTTGCAGTAAACCGAGATTGTGCCACTGCTCTCCAGCCACAGAGCGAGACTCCATCTCAGAAAAAAAAAAAAAAAAAAAAAAAGAAAGAAAGAAAAAAGAAAATGATCACCTTACTGAAGTCTGAGTTGGTCAAAGTCATGACTCTTAATTTAGAGTATATGACAAGTTAGGGACACAGTTTTGCTCCTACCTCAAATACACTGGAGACCACAGCACTGAAGCTGAGTCAGCTCTGGCTCCCTCAAGGATCATGACCAGCTGTCCTTTTCTGTCAGCATGACTCACTGAGGATGTCCACCTTTTGATTCTCTCATGCTGTGCCCTGGACACTGACCAGGCCTGTTTTAGCAGGTTTCACAGGCCTGGCTTCCTGCCCAGAGTCTCCACCAGAGCTTTGGTCTACCTCCTGTGCTTGGCTGAAAGCAGGAAGAACTAAACTTGGCCTGGTGGCCCACATCCCAAGTGCCCTCATTTCACAGGACATCCGGCTCTTTGTCTGCCTTCCTGATCAGGCCCTATGAAGTTGCTCACAAGTTGTGCAGCCCACAAAAATCCCACTTGCTTCCCTCAGGTCTGCTTCCCTGTGAGGGAAAGGGGAGAACAGAACCAGGTTGACGCTCGTTATTGGCATTTGAGGACATTAATTCATAATACCCATCTCTCCTCTGGATAATGGATAAACTGAAAAAGACCCAGTCAGAGACCAAAATGCCAGTTGTATCACTGCTAAAGCAAGATTGTGAAGGGCTGGATCTTTACTCAAGATGGGTAAAGGCATCATATCATTTCCTTTGA